AGAAGACTACAAGGACAAAATCAGGGAACTTCTAGACCTCACCACCTACAGAAAACTGAAATGGGACCCAACCAACAAAATCACAAAACAAACAAACATGTTGATCAGGAGTTCCTCACTGCACCCCAATGTCCCTCAATGAATCTGCAAGACAGAAGCTCTCCCAACAAGACTATACGGACTCCCCAAAATCCACAAAAACTCAATCCCACTCAGGCCCATTGTAAGTGCCATCGGCTCCCCGACATAGGAATTAGCAAAATACTTACCCACTCTCCTACAGACCCACATTGGGCAACTCTCATCCTACATCAAGGACTCAGGACTTTTCATAAGCAAGATCAGCACCCTAAAACTCAAACCCGGGGACAGACTGATCAGCTTTGACATAGTATCGCTATTCACCAAGATACCAATAAAGGACACTCTGACACTCATCTAGCAGATCCTTCCAGAAGACATCAAGGCCCTTTTCCAACACTGCCTGACAACCAGCTACTTTCAGTGGGATAATGGAGTGGCCATGAGGAGCCCCCTCAGCCTGGTTATAGTAAACTTCTACATGGAACATTTTGAAAAACAGGCCCTGGCTTCGGCACCCTTTGCACCCACAGTCTGGTTCTGATACATGGATGACACCTTCGCAATTTGGAACCACGGTGAAGAAAAACTGGAAGAATTTATAAACCATCTCAATAGCATCAACCCAAATATACAATTCACCATGGAAAAACAAATAGAGGATTAACTCCCTTTCTTAGATGTCTTGGTCATACGCAAACCTGACCTCTTATTGGGATAGAAGGTGTACAGAAAACCCACCCACACAGACCAGTATCTACACAAAAACTCCAACCACCATCCATGACAAAAAAGAGGTATAATCAAAACACTGGTAGACTGTGTAAATCAGAAATGTGAAGCTCAATTTCTTAGCACTGGATTTAACCATCTGAATTGGGTCCTATACACAAATGGCTATTCCAAGAATGAAATCACAAGAGCCATGAAACCAAGAAAACAACACCAAACTGAAGAGGAAAAACAGCCACTCACAAATAAAGTATTTCTGCCATACATCAAATGGGTCATAGACCGTATGGGGAAACTATTGAAAAAACACAACCTACAAACAGTATTCAGGCCCACCACAAAAATATAACAGATTTTACAGTCAGAAAAAGGCAAAAGGGACCTCCTCACCACCATAGGAGTATACCGGATACCTTGCAGTTGTGGCCAGGTATATATTGGGACCACAAAACACAGTATCCACACCAGAATCAAAGAACATGAGAAACAGTGCAGACTAACTAAACCGGCAGTAGCTGAACATGCCCTGAAACAAGCTGGACATGAAATTCTATTTCAAAACACAACACCAGCAATCATTATGTTAGACTGCACAGGGAAGCCATAGAAACACATGAACAGCAGAAGAGCTTCAATAAAAAAGAAGTCTAAAACTCAAGAAATCCACAAACAGCAGAAGACCTTCAATAAAAAAAGAAGTCTAAAACTCAACAAACCTAGCTCCCAGCACTGAAAAATACAGTCTGCAAAAGGTCAATGAACTCTACCCAGCCACAAAGACCAGCTACCGACATCCATCAATCACAGTGACAGATAATCTCTCCCCCTTATCACAACAATACACCCAGAACAAAAAACATACTGATAACCATAATCACTCAGTCTCCTGAAAAGGAAAAAAAGCTGATCCCACAGCTATAAATACTCAACTATCCCACAAACTGCACCAGAGCACAGACTGAATTCTGACTCCTGTCCTCTGAAGACAAACCTTCAGAACATGGCCAAACAGCCCCAAAAACTACAACAACCTAACCTGAAAATATCCATACAGCTACCTTCAAGGATATACATATTAAGCACATTTTAGGTTTGCCTGGGGAAGGGGGAAGGAAGTTGAAGCAATTTCTGAGCAAAGTACAGTAGATTGGTGCTTTGATGCAAATCAGTTTGTAAATTTGCTTCACTTCACTGCAGAACTGAATCTGGGCAACGTTCTACACTCATCCAGACCTCATACAAATTGTTCTGAATTGCGTGGCTTTGTTGTGGAATTTGGGATTTGTCAAATCTGCTCCAAAGCTCTATAAAATATTGTATACAGTTCAACCCTATGCAATTTCTTCTTATTGCTGTATTAACTATATGCCATCTAAACTATTCCTGAGCAAAAAAAAAAAAGCATGTGGGTAGAAAACCAGAAAAATGTATGGAATTTCTGACCTCTTTACATAAATAGAAGATGAACAGTGCATTACAACATGGAAAGTAGGAACAGGAAACTTATTTACACTTTCTCATATATATATATTCTCTTACTTTTCTTTGTTGTCTCATAAAGCACATAAAGTAATCAACAAATCTGACGATCACAGAGGAAATAGACTTCTTACAATATTATCGTTCTAGACCAGTAGTTCCCAAAACTGGTGCTCAAGATGTCATTGGATACAACTCCCAGAAGCCTTAGCTAGCACAGTCAATGGGCAGGCCTTCTGGGAGTTGTAGGAGCTTCCCAGGCTTTCTGGGAAAATTTGTAGCCCTATGTTTGAGAACCTTTGTTCTAAGTCAAGATCTGATTGCCAGATTAGCTGTTTATACCATAGCCAAGAAATGCAGAACGTGACTTAGTGAGCCTATACTTCCATTATGTGCTGCTGTGCATTTTCTTAGACAGGAAAATCAGGATTTAAGTATGTATACTAAAACAAACATTCCAGATTATTTTCTTGGACTGGATTGATAGCTCCAGGCAACCACAAAAGGCTAAGGCATTCTGAACTGCCTGTGAAACTCTTTCAGAAAAAGTACATCTTTTCTGCTACCAGCTTTTGTTTTTCATCACTATAGGTGCTGCTTCTTAATTTTAAAGAATTCGGTCTGAACTTAGTTATGGTTGAGAGTAGACCTACTGACATTGATGGGACAAGTTAGTCATAGGTAACATACCCAATTGATTTCAGTTGGTTTACTCTAAGCAAGACTAGGTCTGAATCCAACCCCTTCTCAGCTGCATATATCATCATTGTCATCTTGAAATTGCAGAGCTGGAAGAGATCCTATGGATTATAGATGCCAGCCCCTGTCAAGAAGTACAGTGAGGAATCAAACTTCCAACCTCTGGCTCATCCAGATACCTGAAAAATATGGATTTGTTTATATGGTTATTTTTCAGAAACCCAGCCTGTGTTCATGTTTATTATTCCAGCCTTTGAACTGCTATATGCTGTTTTGTACAGAACGTCTGGGGAGTTATTCAGGTCCTTAAGAGTAACCTTGCTTATTTAATGTGGATTGAAAGATAAGAATGATGAACAACTGAGCCCAAAATAATTGTACATGGTTCAAAGGCAGGGAAAATAGCATTATTCAATGTACAATAACAGGATTACTATTTCAACAACACCCAGCTCTTTGTTCAGCAAAGGATAATTACAAAGGATGATCAAATCTGGAAGTTTGAGAAGACATTCACTGCTTACCAGATGTGAAACTGTCCTCTCATTTTACTGTTTTTCTCCTGGAATTACTACTTGAAGAGTACAAAGGGATGTGTCAGTCATCTACAGTTGTTAAGTGGAGTGATTTATGTTGGTGTGTGTTGCTTACATATTGTTATGAAAGAGACATGATCATCTCTCTTGGCAAGAGCTATTGATGTCCATCTCACTTCTACCTCTGTTCCAACTGTTAAACATATAAATCAAGGGTTGGAGATATTATTAACCCAGGATAAGTGATTGTATAGACATGCCTACCATTTCTATAGCATAGAGCTACAGAAATTTAAAAAAAAATACTGCTGGCATAAATTGCAGCAGCAAAATACTGCTGGTTAACAAGTTGCTGCTTATATTCCTCATCATGCACCAACTCACACAACTAGTATGCTATAAGGGATAAAAATGAGGACTTCTTAACAAGTAGCAATTCGCCCCTACAGTTTATGTTGGTATAACCAAACAATAGGATTCTAGCCAAAAAAAGATAGATAAATGCACTTCAGGAAGCATTGTAAAAGTCAGGATGACTGTGATAAGAAATGGAGGTATTTGTATATGAATATCCTCGCGCAGCTGGACTTAACAAGGCCCACTCATGCATCCCCTGTTGGCGGCAGCCTCACTCATCCTTCCAATCGCTCCTGGAGCTCCACTCTCTTCCTACTCAGCTAGCGATTCAGCAGCCATGCAGGGAGACTCGTCTTCCCTCCCACTGCCTGGAAGTGGGCAGGTGAGC